AACACCACCCCCCCACGACACATTCACTGCACGCAGCCAAGGTCAGGCTGGTGGGCCCTGATGCAACTTAAAATAAAACTGCAAGCTAACAGGCCTAGAAGTCAGCAGAACAGAGGAAGAGAGAACACCATCTAGAGCAGTGGTGTCCACACTGCCCACAGAATGGCGCAGCAGGTCACAGGCACGGGGGTGGCACAGGGGAAGGACACAGGCAGGCGGCAGGAGGAAGACACAGAGACCGCTGCTCACAGGACAGGGCTGTGCTGCACTTGCTCATTAAGGAGGACAGTGGCTAAACGGATGACTTGAGGCAGACGAAACCTGGACGTAAGAAGCAACCTCAGGGCTTTCGAGGACGAGAGGCATGTGCCTCCAGCCTCCTACGCTGAGGTAGGAGAGCAGCCGGAAGGAGCAAACGCTCAGAAAAACACGTCCAGGACAGAGCATGGTCTCAAAAAGCAGGCGTGTGAGGGCACTGCAGCAGATAGCCCACTCACCTGAAGCGGGGGTGCTTGTTGATGGCTTCATCTGGGAAGAAGAGGGACTTGGAGGCTCCTCCTTCGACTGGGTTGGGTTTATACACAGGCAGGGTGAAGCCAGGACAGCCTAATCTACAACAAATTGAAGAACTTAACAGCTGGGACATGTCTTCAGTAATCGCCTCCCTCTTCTTCTTGAATCCGCATCTGTCACAAACATCTCCCTTGTGTTACTTGGGTTTCCCTTGCCCACGGAGTCTTCGCCCCTTCCCAAGCCCTGTCCTATACCTCAGCGCCCTGCACAGGAGCCCCTTGGCTGTTGGCCTCCACTCACTCCCCCACCCCCAACACGTGCTCAGGCCCTCCTGAGCCTGGCAGCATACAAGGGACGCTGACGGCGTGGGACAAGCTTCTCAGGGGTCATGTGGGACAAGCTTCTGAGGCGTCCCTCTGAAACGATCTTCTGACCCTGGATCACCACGGCCCAAACCTCGTGGGAGGCTTCTGCTGAATCTGAGCAGCGACTCCGGGAATCTGCCACAGTTAGGCCGCATTGCCGGTGTGCTCCTGAGGTCCAATACCCCCTTAGGTCTTAGCTCCAAGAACAGCTCTAATTCCAACACAGAAAAACGCAGCTCTTCATCCGTCCCCACATCTAATGCTTAATTAAATTCTTCCCTTGCACTGAGGTCCTCAATCTTCCTGGTTCAGAACTGAGAGAGAGGGGGCTGAAGACCACAACAAGAAAATAAGGGAGCGCCACCCTCCCCTCCCCACCCCCTCTCCTCCCCTCACAGCACAGAACTAGTCTGTGGGCTGAGAACAGCTATGCCTGCCTCGTCTCTAGCTAGCCTGTACCTTTCATAGGACAGAAAGCCTGCCGGCTCACGCTCCCACCCTGCCAACACATAGCAGGGGCGCTCTCCAGAGGCTGCGCAGCTGCTGATCCAACCCAGAAAGCAGTACCCAGCTGCTCAACCTCTGGAGAGCGCTCCTGCTGTGTGCGTCACCTGCTCGTGTGCTGCAAGCCACACGCAGGAAGCTTCCTTCGGGGAGATTCTCACCAGCCAGCACCAGGCTGGCCAGAGAGAATGTGAATGTGCCTGCGTGGCAGGGCGGGGGAGCCCAGCTGGGGTCCTCGGAGCCGGCGACCCTGCAGCAAGGGGACGCTGAACATCTGCGCTCACCACACCAGACAGCACAGGCCCCTCAGCCAGGCTGCCATGCAACCCTGAAGGGGCCTCTTTTCCCCTGCTCTCGGCTGCTCAGGCCACAGCCCAGACCCAGACTACACAGCAAAATGTGACCCTGTCTGATTGACCCAATCTTTTCATTTTTTAATTTAAAAAAAATTTTTAGCGGAACCTGGGATTGAACTCAGACCCAAGCGCTTACTCTACTGAGCTATCTCCCTGGCCCCGACCCAGTCTTTCCAGAGCTTCCCACTGCTTTCAGGACGAGCACTGACATTCAGTTCACCTGGGCTGGCCCACCGCCAGCCTGACGCACTAGTATTGCCTGCCCCGCCTCCCGCCACCGCCAGCTAATGCATTCTGCTAGTGCACAACCAGCAAGTCCCACCCGCTCACCCTGGGCTGCTGCACAGCCACCTCTTCTCCCTAGGTTGTCCATCTGCTCCCCATTCCTGTGAGATACCCCGGAAAGCTCCTCCTATCACCCTAACAACCTTTCTCTGGAAGGAGCCCCTCTGCCCCAAGTCCACTTAGCTCACTCTGGGTCCGCCTCTCTCCCGCGTGGCACCTGACTCTGCACTATCCAGCATGGCGGATAATGTGCACCTCTGAACATGTATGTACCCTGCAGACATTCATCAGGAGGGGAGAAAGCCTGAAAAGAGGTCAGGGTTCTGGACATGGGCGCCAACCCCGAAGTGCTTCCAACCCGAGAGGAGAGCACACTTCCAGTCCAATGGCATCCCCACAGATGGCAGCTTCGACTGGTCGAGCTGCACTGCTACACAGAGGCGCTGTACTGGCCGGGTACGCAGAGCCCTAATTCCACTGTGCTCACTTTCTGGTACTTTCGATCATAACTAGATGTGATAACAAACTCTATGTCCTTTTTCTAGCAAAACACCCAAGGGTGCCTCACCCTGTTCACAGCTGATATATAATCAGCAGCACACCAGGAAGGGAGGGTGACCCCGTGATGTGTCCCAATGCATGCTGCCTCTGCTTAGAACCTGCACTTTGTGAAGTGCTGTTAGGACAGGAGCATGCAGCTCTAGCTAGACACCTAGGAGGCTGAGGCACAAAACTGCAGGTTATCTCAGCATGGGGAACTCAGTAACTTGGCCTCAAAGCTTTTAAATAATATTTTAAAAATTACCTATTTATTCATTTGATACAGGGTCTCACTACACAGTTCAGACTCGTAGTGATCCTGTCTCCACCTCCCCAGCACTGGGATTACAGGCATGTGCTACCATGCCCCGCTTCAGGGACAGCAGAGGGCACCTGGGTTTCCGGTGCTGGCACAGCATGTGGTGCTGGAGATTGAACCCAGGTCCTTGTGCTTGCCAGGCACAGCCCAAAAAAAGTTTAAAAAAAACCCTGAGGATGTAGTTCAGTACAAAGACCCTGGACTCACTTCCCCGTGCCACCAAAATAAAGCAGGATGCAGGTCTACCCCGTCACAGGTGTGCTGTGTCCCCACCAGATGTCTGCTAGACTGTGGAAGCGGGCTGCAGGGCCCCTGGGGGCTGCTCACCCGACAAACGCCTCCAGGCTGGTGTCTGGTTCTGAGCCTGCATAAGGTGGTAACCCTTGGAGCCTGGCCAGTTACCTCCTAAAAGAAGTGTTAACACAAACAAAAGTGCTGTGCAGGCTGAGTGCGACAGCACTTGGTGGTGCTGTCCAGCTCCTCGAGGGTCAGGACGCTGGCTCCCCCACGCTGCTCACCAGCCCTCTGCGGCAGGCCTGCTGAATGCTCACACGGCCCACTGGCTGGAGCTGGCAGGCAGGTCTGATGTGCACAGTGAGTGCTGCGCCTATAGTGGGAGTGCCGACACACCTACGATCTCAGTGCTCCGGGAGGCTGAGGCGGAGGACAGTAAGTTCAAGCCCTGCCCCAGCAATTTAGCAAGGCCCACATGAACCTGAATGCTAGGACCACTAAAAGGGGGAGGGCAGCACGTGGATTACAAGCTCTCTGTAAAATAAAGAACTGTAGAGTGGGTCCCGACCTGCTCGCCATAACCTCTAGCTCCAACATTTGGCCAAGACATGTTAGTAACAGGAATTGGCAGTACGTTACTCGGAGCTAACGTGTCCCAGCATCTAGTGCAACTGGAAGGTGGCTGACTGCGGGGGGCATGCTCTCGGGGTTCATCCACTGACAGCCTAGAAGATGCCATGGCTGCAGGAGGTGCTGATGGAGGAGCCCCTCCTCCCTGGCTCCCCTCTGTCCAGGATGAACAGCTGCCCTCCCTTCTGTCCATCTGTCCTGGAGCAGACCTGGGACTGAATTCACTGGAAACTCCTCTACGTGCTGGGCATCATTCTGTGTCCATGGGACAGTGACTGCCACAGGAACCAACCTGGGGAATGACGTTATGGTGCAAAGAGCCTGGTTTTCCTCCAACACTGATGTGGCCTCCTCGCGGCGCTTCCTCATGTTGTCCTCCACGGTGTTGAACTCTGACATGGTCCCTCCGTAGGGCTGTCCGGGCGTCCCTTCAATCATGTAACTGCCATACTCTGGTCTCCAAAGGGTAGGATGGCTACAGAGAGAGAGTTTGTTTTTAATCTTAATCTTGTGCTGCAGTCTACTTGAGTTTTAGCAGTCTGAAAAGCTGCTTTAAAATTTGAAGCTGTAAGCAAAGCTAAGCACTTCTTCCTAAGGTTGCTAACTTTCATAGCTCTTCAACTAATAGAAGAAATAAAAAATGCTGGCCCTCAAGTATCTGTAAGCCACTTGCTGCCGGGAAAACACGAGTGCCTGCTGCGGGAAAGGCGTGCATGGTCCTCAGCACTGGTCTGCGGTGGCCTCACTCCCACGTAGAAACTGGGCACACTGCACTGCCGGCCCCAGGGGCTCTCGGAGGCTGCTAACCATCACGCCAGCCACACAAAGCCTACGAGCAAGAGTTCATCTGGCAGCAGGGGGTGTGATCTTAATTATATGTTTTTTTAAAAATCAGTAATGGTAAACAGGCTCTATGTTTAGCTTTCTGTGCTGTGGTTAACACGCTCAATCCCAGCACTGCAGAGGCAGGTACAGATATTCTTTACAGATAAGAAAACTGAGGCACAGGGGGCTCTAAGCCTACTCAGCGCGCGACAGAGGAATCAGGACCTGGGGCTGCGCCTGCTCACACGGGGGTGCCGCGTGAGCAGAGGCGGTCTCGGTGGCACCCCCAGGTCAAGACCCCGCCGAGGCTCCCAGGACGCCCGGGCTCACTTTGGATTGGTCCTCTCTCCTTTCTCTTGTAGAGTTTCAAGAACGTCTTCTCCATTCAGGACCAACTGGACCTTCTTATTTTCATGATCAAAGGAGACCAACATGTATTCCACCTACAAAATATAGTAAGGCAGAGAGAAATTAATGTCTTTCCAGACTCAAGCTCACAGTGCCCTTTAGATGAAGCCAGAGGAATGTGACTGACCCGCTGGCTTACGCTACAACATGGAGTTCGACTGGCACCTGCTCTTTGTTTTCCCGGAAACTGTAAGCTCTAAATCGTGCTGCCTGTGTGAACAGGGATTACGAATCACTGAGCACACAGGAGTGGGAAGGTCAGGCGGAACTGGATTATTCAGGCAAATGCATGGAAGAACCTTTTGCATAAGGCACCATGACAACGAGTGTAGAGAAGACGCTGGACGGCTCATCTGGTTTTACAGCACTTACGATAAAAGAAAAGAGACAACAGCACAGCAAAGCAAGGCAGGCAGCAGGATTCCCACTATTTTCTGACAGCTCACTTGAAAACTCAGATTCTCAGTCTTGTACTGTAATGAGAGCTGATCTGCAGCTAAGTACAAAGAGGGAAAAGATGGTGCTAGCCACAGAAAACAGTGGCATGAATTTAAACAACAGCAAAAAGCAAGATTTGAATTCACATTTATGAATCAGCGTACTGCTGAAGTTAGGGTCTCATCAGAACATTTCAGCGCAGGACGTGACCAGACACTGGGCTGCGAGGCAGGTGTGTGCTCCGCACTGGTCAGTCTGGTCGGCAGGCTGCTCACGGAGCTACGCCCCCCACCAGCGCAGCCTGTGCCAAGGAAGTGCCGTGCCGGGCCGGCCCAGAAGGGTGAGCGGACAGAGCCTGTGCGCGGGAATCAGCCTGACTTTAAATGTGTGCAAACACAAAAGCCGTGCCATGATGTCTCTACCTATGAGTCCTAACCTTTAACTCTACCATGCAAAAGGAATCGTACTTAAGCCAGCTACTGAAGGCCTCAAGCGTCAGGCTGTCTGCCCCATCTCGCTGCCAGGACTACAGAAGACACCAACTTCGGTAAGGTACAATGGGTTTTTCACAAAACTGTAAGCTCTAAGACAGTTAAAGGCTAGCAGTCTCTCAGCAGGACTATTCCTGCTAGGATGCAGGCCGGAAACGCCAGCACAGCAGCTGAGCTGTAACCAACACTGCAGTCACATAGGTAAGTACAGACAGGTCAGCCCACCTCTGAGGGCCACAGGCTGCTGTCCACGTGCTCCCTGTGTGGCTTCCTATTTCTTGCAGTCCTTCAGTAGTTTGTCCTGGGCTGGAGATATAGTGTAGTGGCACAGCGCCTGCCTGGCAAGTGCGAGGCCCTGAGTTCAATTCCCATGCAAAAAAAAAAAAAAAGTCAAAAACCAAAAAGAAAGCAGTAGTTTGCCCTCTCACTCCCAGGCTGCCTGGCATCTTTTTTTTTTTTTTTTTTTAAGGCAGAACCAGGGATTGAACTAAGGCCCTTGCACTTGCCAGGGAAGTGCTTATTCCACTGAGCCATCTCCCCAGCCCGTGCCTGGCATCTATCTGATAGAGCTGTCTTCTCACCTGGAAAAGCAGCTTCCTTAAGGAAATACGAGATGGTTCCTAGCCCACTGGCTTCACACCTTTGGTCTGTTTCCAACATAAGCAGGAGCTTTTGTAGCAGTTATACAAGCCAAACTGTAACACATTTGCTGGTTTTCCAGAAGACTTGAAATCTTTACTTCTCAATATACTTCTGCCCCCAAGTAAGCAGACTCATCCTGAGGCCCACTTTGAGCCAAGTAAATGACATTGCAAACGTTAACCAGTCTCTCCTTAATTAAAAAAAAAAATTACCTAATCAAACAAATACCTCAAAATATTTACCAAATGAAAGGAGGAAACAGAACTATTTTTGATGCACCTAATTTCTAAATGGGAGCCTGACTGAGCCATCCAAACCCAAACTGGTGGCCCTGTGACGTCTCGTCCTCTCCGGTCACCCTGCACTGTCCCCATCAGTCCTCTACACAGTTCTCTAACCTGTATTGTCTCACCCCAGTCCAGCCACACAGTTGTTTATTCTCAACTCTGGTTCCTGCAGGCACTCAGTTAGCTGAGTTTTTACAGCACTTAAGTGGGGCCTGGTTCAGTGACCTAGAGAATGAAAAGCCAGGGGACTGGGGAAATGGCTCTGTGGAAGAAGCGCTTGCCTGGCAAGCACAAGGGCCCGAGTTCAATCCCTGGTTCTGCCAAAAAATAAATAAATAAATAAATAAATAAATAAATGCTAAGCCAAAGTGAAGCAGCACAAGAATGCTTTCCCAGTACAAGACACCGAAAGCCTCAATCTCTCTCCCTCTCTTCTCTGTCTCTCTTTCTCTCTTGGGTACCAGAAACCAGTGAAGATAAAAGACACATTCAAGAGACATTAAATAATGACAGAAGGTTCAGTGGCCCTCTGCACCACAACACCAATTCCCAGGTTTGAACACACATTAATTCCCTTTATCAATGGCTTTGCTTCCTATTGTTTAAGTTATCACAGTCCAAACATATTAATATTTGTCTCGACACTTTTGAGAGAACAGCTACACAGCTTTTATTTTAATAACTGCATTACTTGTTAATCTCTTACTGTGCCTAAGCTTTATTACTATAGATGCACAGGTACATGACAAACAGCGTGTGCAGGGTCTCAGGCACCTGCTGCGAGTTCCAGAGGGTGCTGCTGAGTCAGCTTCCTACCTCTGAACAGGCGGTAATAGACCTGCAATCCCAGCCACATCCCTTAAGTACACTGCATGCCTGCACAGCTGTACATGCCCACACCCAAAGAGCAATGTCGCAGCTGCTCTTCCCTCTTCCCTGGGACAATTACCCAACACTCAACATGAAGGAAAGAAAGCTTTATTCAGCTCAGTTACTGGAGCTTTCAGTCCATTCTCAGCTGGCTCCAAGGCAGAATGACACATGGCAGACAGCAGAGGGAGGCGGCAGCTCAGGCCCTGGCCAGCCTCTCTCAACTGTAATGCAGATTACCTGCCCCAGGGTGGGTGCAGCACCCACACCCACAACACTCACTCACAACTCCGGAAGCCACCGCAGGACTGCAGGAGGCTTTGGGGGACACCTAGACACAAACCACACCGAGTACCCTAAATGTACACCATGCAGGCTGACCCATTCAGTTTCAAGGGATCAACATACCTACACAGAGGACAACTCCCTCAAGTGGACTTGGGAACCTGCTCCTCTCCAATTACCCTTTGATATGGGGCAAGGAACCTAGTAAAGCCTCTCTGCAAGTCACTCATGTTTTGAATATGCACTGTTTTTTTATGAGAATTAAAGCCTTGGGGCTGGGGAGATGGCTCTGTAGAATAACCATTTGCCTGGCAAGCGCAAGGTCCTGAGTTCAATCCCCGGTACTGGGGAAAAAAAAAAAAAAAAGAAAAAAAAGAAAAAGAAATCTTTTATATCCCTCCAAAAGGTTTTCAGTAAGGCAGGAATAAAAGTCACTAATATCCACTTGCTGTTGACACAAGGACAAAGTCACAATAAAAACTAAAAAAAGTGTTTTAAATGGTTTGAAGGACATGAGAAAAGACACACATAAAACACTATCATGAAGTCTGGGCGTGGTGGTGCACCCCTGTAATCCCAGTGCTGCAGAGGCTGAAAACAGGAGGATCACTCTGAGTCCGAGCTGTGCAGTGAGACCCTGTATCAAATACACAAACGAAAACAAAAACAAAACCAAAAACACACTCGTATGTATTTTTCTCTCCGTGTCACAGGTGCTGCTAGGTACACCCGGACACGGTGATCCCCCAGGCATTTAATGCAGGTCTGAACAAGCGTAATGAGGTGCTTAAGTTTATTTAAAAGTAGGCTGATAAAGAATCTTAACGGAGGATAATGTAAGTACTGTACTCAGTACAATACTGAACACAGACTAGACACAGAGCAGAATACTTGTGATGGTAAAGTTTACTTATTTTTTTGTATTTTAGGGAAGCGTCTACAGGGTGTTCAGGGTCTCACTACTAGATTGGACTCAGTGATCTGCCTGTTTACAGCCTCCCAAGAGCTGGGATTACAGGCATGTGCCACCACACCCAGTCTCAATTGCCATTTTAGCATGCCCCAGGGGCGGCCCCTGCTTGCAGACGCTTTAATCCACTGAGCTATTTGGCTGGCCCTATGATGGTAAAGTTTAAAATAAAAGCTAGTATAAGTATTTAATTTTTAGGATCAATGTTTTTTTCTGGCGGAACCGGGGATTGAACTCACACCCTTGCGCTTACGAGGGAAGGGCTTATTCTACTGTGCCATCTCCCCGGCCCCTAGGATCAATGTCAAGTCTCTAAATGGCATGTACCATTAGTGCAAAGTTGTAAAAGTTCTTTTTTTTTTTTTTTTTTTCCTGTACTTCATGTATTTTGATATTCTTTCTCGAAGGTAAAGGTTTCTGGAAGCCTAAGAGTGTGGAGGCCCACCTGAGCAGTTCTCCTTGAAAGAAGAGCGACTGTCTCCATTTTGACCGAGTTTGACTCTATTTCCTTGTACTGCGATGTAGAGAGCTGGCCAGGACTCCTGTTTATCCTTCAGCTGGCCTTAAGCCATGTGTATTGGTCTAGCTGAGGTGCTGGTGATAGTCTGTGAAGGTGGCCTGCGTGTTTCCCTGGTAACCTACACCTGCTGCTCTTTAATGTGAGCCAAGCTGAGACAGGACGGTAGAGCTAATGCTCTGCTCCGCGCCGCCAGCTGGGATCAAGCCTCTCGAGTTAGAGGCTATGACCTCCTGGGGCTTGAAAGGCTACACCAAAGCTGAAGCACCAGACTTACCAAGACATTAGATACTATATAATGCAGATTACTCTCTCTGCATATGGCGGAGGTAAATTTAGGCCACCCACTAGCTCAGCTCATAGGAGTCTCCTTCCCATAATTCCTAGTAAATCCTCAAGTCACTCCCCCACTGAATAAAACTGGGTGAGGCCCTGGGTCACTCTCTTGGTTCCAGAAAGCCATCTTCATGGCTGGACTTAGAGCCCCTTGACTCCCCGATCGTTGAAGATATAATTTAGTGTCTTTATTTTCACC